AGGAGCCTCTTCAGAACCATACATTCAGGCCTCCCAAGGTACATGCCATTTCCAAATTGGCTACACCAAGTGACCTTTGCATTTGGGGTCACATGTTTTCTTCTATTTGCATTGAGAAGGCTCTATAGAAATTATTCTGTAGCACATGAAAGCAAGCGCTTATCCTATATTTAGCTTGGTAGACTAGAGGCCGTAGCAGGTTTGTCCCGGCACCGAAAAGCATTTTGTTATGATTTAAACTAGTTTGAAAGTATTGAGTAAAATAATATCAACCTTTTTATTGAATGATATATTAAAACATTCAGTTGTCTCGGTTGAACACAAGAATGACTGAATTATATCTATTTAAAATTACTTCAAAATAAATGTACTTCCTCATTTCTGAGTTTTATAGGGACATTAATTATTTTTCTGAATTAGCCTTCAGAACGCAAAAATGGCTCTTATATAAAGCATAAATGATATCTCTAGAAAACTTTTTTTTTCATAAATTCTATGCTTCTCGATTGTCTTGCTGCTAGTACTGGGTTTATTTTAAACCTGACTAGATATTAACTGTTTAAGAGACATTTACCTTTAGAACAAAATTAATTGATGCCATGGTTTGAAAAAGCCTCGAGAAAGCCTTGAGAATTGAATACCATATGCTCATCATTACAGTTTTAGTTAATATTCCACTAAGTATAATGTATTCATAATTCTACTGAAAACTATCGGCAAGATGCCAAGATCCATAGTGAAAATACAAAACGACATGAACTGGCATCTATGTATAGTATGATGTCAAGACAGTCAAGTGTTGAAGTATTGAATACCATAAGATCATCAATAACAACTTCACTTTCTACTCCACAATGTTCACAACTCTACTGAAATATAAACGAGGGATCATATTCAATTCAGGCTGCAGAATAAGACGGTGTGTTACTTAAAATTTTGTTTGGCTAAGTAAAATTTCTGATCTTGTATTCAGATGACATCTAAGTATTTTACTTAAGCAAGCTGACTTCAATGCAGAATAAGGATAAAAACATTGTGACATATCACATGATCAAAGTAATGCTAAATGTCGCTGCCAAGTTTTGAAATGTTTATACCATATGGTCAACAGTTTCATTTTCTATTCCACACAGTATCATTTTATTCACAGCTCTCCTGAAATCTAGGATATGGATAAAAATATGTTTCGGCTCAAACATGATATACATGTGATCACAGCACTATCTTCATGGACATGGTCAAATAATCAAGACTACATGTCGCTGTCAAGAATTGAAGTGTTAACTACCATACAGGGCTCAAATTAATTTTTTGTCCACTGGGGCTCTTCTACCCCCCCCCCCCCCCCCCACCCAAAAAAAAGAGCCCCCGTGAGCCTTCTCACGGGGGCTCTTTTAGTACTGACGGGGGCTCTTTTTTATACAAATATCCATTGAATTGGTACCTATGATACTCCTCAATTATTTGCTATTTCATCATTATCATTTCAATCAGCATTTTCCCTCTTACACATTTACAAGCTACATAGCTGTTACTGGCCTGTGTATATAATATATACGCATACAACACTGATCTTTATGATGTCTTTAACGTGACATATCTTCTTCTCCCCTTGCAAACGAGAAAGAAAACAAGGTCGTTAAAAACGATTAAGCGACAAATAATGATTGTGATTCAAATTGATGCGAATATTTGTTTGAATAAGCACTGCTATTCACCCGAATCTTCATTGTAAAAACAACTTTTACAAATCTCAGCCATGCTTACTGAGTTGAGACGTTCCATTTAATGTAAAATACTCATTAAAGAATACACTTCTCCTAATCTGAAAGTGATCTTACAACACAGTGGCAGATTTGCATGGCTGAAATTTGTAAAAGTCGTTTTTACAAAGAAGATTCTGGTAAGAAGCATTGCTTATTCAAAAAAATCCTTGCATCAATTTGAATCACAATGAATATTTGTCGCATGATCCTTTTATTAAATAACCTTGTTTTCTTTTTTGTTTGCAGGGGGAGAAGAAGCTATGTCATGTTAAGAAATCATAAAGATCAGTTGTATTATGCATATATACGTTATGATACCAGAACAAATGTTGATTATCAGAATGTCATTTTGGAATACCTCTATACAAATACCACATTGTCTTTAGCCCGTATCAGTATTAGTATGATCCAATATAAAGCTACTATTCTTTATTTAATTCAGTATAATGCTTTTCCTCAAAAATAGTTTTGCTATTTTTTTAGGGTTGAGACGCTAAGAAATGGTTTCAAATGTACATTACACGAACCCTGAACCATTGCAAAATGATGGTGGTTCTCTCTCTCTCTCTCTCTTTATTTTAATCATGCATTATCAACTACATATAGAGCAGCAACCAAAAACTTAGGGTTATCTGAGATAGGTGAAAGTAAGAGTTAAAAAGAAAGTCATGCTAAAACGGCGCTTCACTCCCCCCCCCCCCCTAAAAAAAAATAGATTAGTAGTCCTCCTCTCCAGCATCCCCCCCCCCCACCCCCCCACCCCCTGCTTTAATATCACATTTTCACTTGGCAGCTCAATATTGTGTTAAAGTTATAACAGGAAAGATAATCTTTATTTTATAATTCCACGGGGGCGATTTTTAATTTTGCAATCGCCCCCATGAGCAACCTGACGGGGGCGATTATGTACATGTAGCTCACAGGGGCGAATCGCCCACCGCCCCCGTGTCTTTTGAGCACTGCTACCGTACTACATCAATAACGGCTTCACTTTTTGTTCCACTCGGCATAATTTATTCTCAGCTCTACAGATCGCGATATATCATAGAGGGCCAGATAATAATCGTGCATGAGATCACAAAACAAGGTCTTATCAGTCTGTAGTAGCTAATTAGTGTCAAAGTGTTGGATGCCATAAACATCAATAACAGCTTCGGCTTTCTCTATCACAGCTCTACAGACCTATATCGTTGTATATCATATCGTCCTTGTTTTCACGAAGTGACGGTAGTGAGGAAAATCGTAACGCAAAGTGAATGCAATTTGTTTTCACTACCGTCACTTCGTGAAAACAGCGACGATATGGACGGTTCAGTGACACAAAGACATACTGTAACTCCATATTTTGCCAAAATGAGGCAAAACGTTCAGAAACATGTGGACTTTCCAGGAAACACAGAGACTTAACTCCTCCCAACGCCCAATTGAAGTTAATGGCTAGTGAAACATAGACTCAACTCTATAAGGCTTAAGTGCTCAGTGACACATAAACCACTTTTTCTCAAAATGGCCAAAATTGAGTTACGTCTTTGTGTCACTGACCCCTCAGTATAGCCAGATCAATAGTCAGGTATCATATGAGATCACTGAACTACTACTATACATTGTATCTTAATGAGCATGGTAAATAGAGACCATATTGTGACGATTGATTGACCAGGAGCAATAATCGATTCTTAAATCATAACATGGTGGTTAATTAGTGGATTCACAAGTTAAAGACATGGATTGGGTGAAATGAATTATCCTGTATCATCAACAGATGATAAGTGTTTCCAAGAAACACAGACAACATAAGCTAAGACAACTGTCATGAAGGACTGCCATTCTTAATAAACATGTCCGGGCTAATGAGTATAATGGGGCTAATGAGTATAATGTGGCTAAATGATATACCTTTTCAATATTCACCAGTATAGGTGTCTTTGCTATATCAAAGAGTACTTTACCTACAAATGAGAATTACAAAAAAAGGTCTCAAAAATTAAGCAGATTGTAACACCTTATCAATTTTGCATAATTTAAAAAAAATTAGACTTTGTGTAATATCAGCCTACTATCCTAAAACAATGTACCCATCACACACTTTCATTTTATTCACATTTTTCTTGGATCTACATGACTGTACTTCCATCAAGACCTGTAGGCAATTCATGTCTGCTGCCCTCACTCAACTACTGCAAGAAAGGATTGATGCATTTTCAGACAAGCAGGGTACACAGAATTTCCTTAACTTATCAAGCCAACCAATGACTTTTCACCAAAAATGGCACGTTTTATTTCTATAATGATATCCTACATAGTGTTTACTATGCAAGATTTGTTTACCAGAGCAATGTAGGCCTACCCAGCCAATAATGGTCTCCAACAAATAAATATGATATTCTAAATTACACTTAAATAAATTCAGACAATTTCACTTTTGTTTTACAAATCATGTGATGGCTCAGTGGTGAGCAGCAGCCTCATATCTAGAAAGTCAACGGTTGAAACCTTAATGCCCTTTGGTAAGACAATAGTCCTTAAAATTTCACCAAGTCTCTTAGAAAAGTCTTTAAATGATAGGTCTCTAGATTAGAAGCATTGTCTTTTTTGTAGCAGTAAGGTAAGAAGAAGAAGAAAAAAAAACATCATTAAAACAGTTAATCCTTCATAATGCAAACTTAGATTTATGACTGAAAGACTTCACATTAAAGAGCTGATAAGCATAAAAAACACTGAACTTTTTCTAGAAAACATTCATCTTTAATGGAAGTCCAGGTTTATGACTAAAAGACTTCAAATGCAAGGTCATATGATCATAAATAGAATCAACCTAGAAATGTTTGAAATTTTCTCATAAGAAAGATGACCATTCTCCAGTCTGGTAGAACTATAAGTACATCTTAACACAGTGCTTGAAAGTAAAATCTACACATTTTTTATTTGCACAAACATTTACAACGAACACAAACTCATGTTGACGTAATTCCACATATTTATTTTATTAGCTACAAACAATACAACATAAACGCACATACATGTACTTATAGTTTAGTTATGACATCATAAGAAGAGAAAATTTTGAGCAACCATTTTAATTAACAAGAAAACACAATTTTGATTATACTCCAATTACAAAGGATGGTTTAATACAGTGATTATTCTAAAACATATTTCTACCTTGTCACTTCTCAACAAGTAACCTTTATATTATGTTTCATTCAAAAGCACATGACACAATGGATTGAATACATTGTAAGAGCACTATATATTTATTTACCGGTACATTTTACATAAATGTGTATGCATGTAATAAAGTAGCTTGGCAAAATATAAAAAGCAGTATATACATTAATTCACATGTGTAAAAAAAAAAAAAAAAAAAGCCCTGATCATCAAAAGTTACATGTATGATTTATTGCACTCATACAAGACCATACCATCAGGATATGATAGTAATTAACTCTACTTCCTCAATTGTGAGCTTAATGATACCATACATCATTTTGTATCAAACTGTCATTCTGATAAACTGAATTACACGTTTAGAAGCAATGACATGACTAATGATTATTAGACCAACACCATACATGTTGTATTTTACATTCAGTGCCAGCGTTTCTTTATGTACCAGCCTTTTTGTTTTAAAGCTATTTGTACCAGTTTCTTTAATTCTTTTATTGCAAAAGTGATATCCCAAACAATTAACATCCATTTGGACTAAGAATACTTCATGTACAACAGATATGGTTAGGTTTAGTTCAGTCAGTTCAGAATGGGAGTAGTGTTTACCTGCATCGGATATTGATATAAAGGTAATCTAAAATTCCTGAAAACAACCCTTTGAACACAATTATTCTTTATTCTTTAAGTCATGAAATACACTTAACAATTTACATTGATCGAGTATCCCTCTCTAAACTCAAATCAATGAATTTTCTCTAACAGGAGTATTGATTCCTTTCAATGTTGTGCACAGAATTCTTTGTTACAGGCCAACCCATCCTACACAAAAGGAAATGCCTGGGCCCCTGTTGCACACAGAGCACGGCTTAAGACCCTATTTGCCATGCACATATCATTAATTTTAGTTTTTCTCCATAGTGCCATCTCATTTTGGGCACTACTCAAAATATACTGTGGATAGCAGATTATTATAGGTCCTCTAAAGAGAATTGACCCTTCTGAGTTATAAATTTGGGGGGGAAATTAAATTCAGACATTTTGTGATTTGGAACAATTTGAACGTTGTCCGCCACTTCATCACAAAGACATTACTGATTCAGCTAACTTGAAGAGCCCATACCTTTTAATGATGATTACAGCTTTTTCTGCTTTCCTCTAGAGTAGTTTGATATCAAGGTTTGAATCCCCTTTAAGCTCAACACAAAGGAAGCCTCATTTCAAACAGTGTGAAAATTTATATTCATAATTTATTAATTTATCATTAATAAAAGTACATGTAGCTGCACAACCTACTACACGGCATAAGTACTCATAATATTACTTTCAGTTTCTACATGTTCTAATATACATGAACCAGGAAATTTATGATACAAGTACATACAAGCTTTAACAGCTAGTTTTACTACTCCGATTGTAACCAGAGTACTACACATATGATGAAGAAAAAAGTAAAAGTAATTGAAATGAAATTAATAAAATCAGATGTGGATTAAAAAACAAAAAATGAATAAATAAATAAATAAATAAACCAATAGATAAATGAACAAATAAATGAATTGATTAATGGAACCTTGGAGAAACTCTTATTCAAAAAAATGAACATTAGACTACTCACCTCAATTGGACAGGGGAGTCATTGCACGTAAATTCAGCGAATGTAATGTCCATTCTTGTTGATTCAGCCCAGTAGCTCTATACATGCCTTGATTAACTACATTTTGAAATGTTCAGCAATGTCTCTCGCACTGTAGAGTCAAACAAAAATAATAAAAATGAATGTCAACATTATATTATCACACACAAAATCCAATATCATTTGCATTTGTTCAGGATGTTTAAGCTTAATAATTTACTAAAAATTTGTTTGATATTGCTATATTTCCTCTCATAGGAGACCTAATTTTGTTTTGAAATAGACAGTTAGAGGCTTATAATTTAGACCCTTATATACGACTCTTAATTTTAATAAATTGAACTTGAAAGGGCAATCCGAGGCTTGCAAAAAGTTCATTAGTATGAAAGTAGAAAATAATATAAAGAGAATGGTGACAGTATTACATAACTTAGACCAATAATAAGAGATTCACATGTATGAATGTTTGAAATATCAGATCACTAAATAAGTGCGAATCTCAAAGGGGCAATTTGGTCCATGGATTGTGACGTACATGTAGACACAGACAACGCTCCCGTTTGTCAGGTACAAAAATATCATCAATTTCTCCCTTGGGGCACTACTCTAATTCTAAAAAATATATTATGGATAGCATATTATACATGACTCCGTGTAGGTCCTCTACAAGAGAAAGAACCTACTGAGTCATACATTTTTGAAAAACTGAAATCGTAGTCATTTTGTGTGTTGGAACATATGGGAAAGTTGTCCGCCACTATATCACACAGACATTACTGACTCAGCCAATTTAAAGAGCCCATAGGCCTACTTATACCAAGTGATTACAACTTTCAAAAATTCATAACTTTCATTCAAACTTTCACCAGTCTGCTTTGTTGATTTTTCCTGTTGTTCTTTTAGTTTAAATGGCGTGTGTCATTCATTTATGAATATTTACGCCTGCTTTCTTGTGGAGAAGTTTGCCATCAAGGTTGAATTTCACTTTAAATATATTTTTTGTTCATAATCTAGTCAACAAAAATAAACAAATTCAATGTTTTGTTTTTTAACCTATCTATCACATAATAAATGTGTATTAAACTGGAATGACAATGTCTGCATTATGCTATTCAAGTACAGATGATGCCCCATTCTATAGAAACACACAAGCTGGATAGGATCTAGATCAGAAAAGAAAATAATTACACAGAATATAGATTTCTGGAGAAATACAAACAATAATACAACCCCGGCCGCGTCATACCAAAAGACGTTAAAAGATGGGAGTTGTTGCTACCTTGTTTGGCGTTCAACAATAGGGATAAAGCAACGTCGATCTGGCGCTGCTCAGTGGCTCCTGGGCTCACGATCAATTGGGCAAAAAGAATTTCTGTTTCGGTTTAATATTATTATTATTAATATTATTATTCAAGAAAAAAAAGAGGATTTACAACAATAACAAATAAATTTAACAAAATGATATCGCAATTCAGGGGGAACCACAGATATGAATGTAAACCTAGCCAACAACGAGCCAACACAACCACACTAACTGTATGGCGGTGTGACCAAAGTTCGCGCGTGACCAAAGTTCGCTTTCTCAAAAAATCGGTAAGATTTCGAAAATCTGATATCACCAATGGAAAGAGGGTCATAAAATTACCCAGAAACGAAATTTTCTTTAGAAGTGGGTGCGAAATTGTGAAAATATTGACAAAAGATCGGCAAATTTTGCAATTATTTGCGTCCGTTCCGAAAAATTATCAACTTACCGATAAGGGTCTGGAAATCTTCATTTTGAGATCAGAAATCCTCAAAATTGTAAGTAAAGAGTGGTACTAACTGATTGTACGATATCTTGCCTTGCAAATTATGATATTACCTTATTTTTGATGAATCGCATTTTTTGATAAATCAACTGTAAACCATCGTGCGTGAAGTTAGGTCTCATTGTTTTTATGACTTTTTTAGATGCAGCGCGCACGCACGATCGGACATCGAATTTTTAGATCGCGATATCTCCGAAATCCTTTGACGGTAAATTTTTCTAGTTAAACCAATCTGTAGTAAAAAACTTTGCCGTCCATTTGGTAATAATTGAAATAAATAAAGTTGTGTAGAATGTGAGAAATCACAGATCGAATATCACTTTTTGTAATATGTTCTAAAATGTCCGCGAACTTTGGTCACCCCTTCATATACATTAGGCGGAGAACATATGCAACGTTAATAAAGAATGTGCTTTCGTGTGTCAGGATCAGAGATAAATTGTAAACACAGCACTCAACAGTCAACACTACCGATTGCAAGATGTTGCAAGACGTTCCAAGCGTGAATCTGAACGTCTGGGACTGTTGTTGACAAAATGCACGAACTATTTACGAGAAGATACCTTTTTCTGTTCTGTTTAAATATAAGCAGCAACAACCCATCCGAGAGCGAATAAACATTACTCTCTAGTTTCAGTTTAATAAGCAATCATAGTGACTTACATAGAATCAGAAAGTGATCATTTCAAGGGATTTCTCAGCGAAGCTCAGCTAACATCCGCATCAGGGTTCCACACAGAAATGTGATATAATGTTGATCAATGCAATTTTCACTAGGTATAGCCAGCTGCATTATGCACTAGTACGCTTCGTAAACCTTACCATATTATAGTTTTCAAACTTCCTGTTTATCCTCGACCTTCTTCGCTCCATCATCATCATCATCACCAACATCATCATCATCATCATCATCTTTATCATCGTCATTATCATCATCATCATCCTCACCAACATCATCATCGTCATTACCATCATATCATCATCATCATCATTACCACCATCATCATCATCATCATCACCAGCATTATCATCGTCATTATCATCATTATCATCATCATCATTATCATCATCATCATTATCATCGTCATTATCATCATCATCATTATCATCATCATCATCATCATCATCATCATCATCATCATCATAACCATCATCATCGTCATCATCATCACCAACATCATCATCGTCATTATCATCATCATCATCATCATTATTATCATCATCATCATCATCATCATTACCATCATCATCATCATCATCATTACCATCATCATCATCATCACCAACATCATCATCGTCATTATCATCATCATCATTATCATCATCATCATCATCATCATCATCATCATCATCATTACCACTCATCTCGAGCTTTCGTGGGTTATCCTGTTCAAGCTGACATACTTTTGATCTGTTATTACTGTATATTGTTGTATGTTGGATCGCTTAATGAATAAAAATCAATCAATCATCATCATCATCGACATACATCATCTATTCCCAGCTAAAGTCCTCCTCCTCCTCCTCTTCCTCCTCTTCTTCTTCTTCCTCCTCCTCCTCCTCCTCCTCCTGACCCCCTATCCTCTTCCTATTCTTTAGCTTTTTTGTTGTTGCTATTTTCATTTCCTTCTCCTCTTTACTTTTTCCTTTTTCTAAACAATTTTTTTTCTTTCAGTTTTTTTTTCTTCTTCTTCTCCGGTCCGTTCCCGGGTCCGTTCATTTACCAGTGCCATTTCATATTGAAAGAACCTAATTAAACAATGCAATGACGTAAGCCTATGTCTGGAGGGAAGGAGGGAGGGGGGGGGTGTCCTGTCGGATATGGCTAATAGATGACAATTTCTTAAGATCTCAGCTATAGGGTTTTATCTTCTCAGTTTAGAAACATCTGTTTCTCATTTTGTCTAGTATAATGTTATGTTATTCTTCTCATTATTTGTCTTATTATCAATATTATTATTATTATCATTATCATTGTCATTATTATTATTATTATTATTATTATTATTATTATTATTATTATTATTATTGTTGTTGTTTTAGTTGTTATTGTTGTTGTTCTTCTTGTTGTTGTTCTTCTTCATCTTCTTCTTCAACTTCTATTTTCATAGTTCTTCTATTTTTGTTTCTTTGCTTTTGTTCAGTTGTTTCTCTAATTCTGTTTTTCTTCAAATACCGAATCCAGAGGGTATACTACTCCACAAAATCATTATAATCTTACTATGATTATATTATATGAAATTAAAAGCAGAGTGTTTCTTATATGCATAATTAAATAGTAATATATCGTACGGAGTAGGTCAATGCAAAATAAAAATTCATATTCAAGGCGGCAATTGAGTTTTGAGATATTAGTCTATAATAGTTGATGGAGATTATTTCAGTCGCTTGTGTTCAAGTTCTTGATGATGATGGAGCGGAGAATCGGGAGAAAGACGAGAATGTTAGGAACTTCGGAGAAAATTGTTTGACCATAGACAAAAGCTTCCTATGTGATATGAAGAACGACCCCCTCTATGGATTAAACACCATATAGCTTTAGTAGAGTCGTATAGATGTCAGTTACCTCTACGAAGAAAGTAATGATAATTCGTAAAGATCAGTGAATCTGCCACATGTTATCATCTGTATTCTTGGCAGGGCGGCCGGGCCGGCGCTGTTATAGGTTTATAATTGAGATGCAATAAAAATTGTCGTATTATAACATTGTTACCCTCCCCCCCCCAAAAAAAAAAAAACACACACAACTCTCTCTCCGCTCTCCCTTCCCTTTTCTCTTCCATCTCCTCCTCTCTCTCTCTCTCTCTCTCTCTCTCTTTCTCGTTTGTTCTCTCTCTTTCTCTCTCTCCCGCTTTCTCTTTTGCCAGTCTCTTGGAGACACAGTTTTCCTGCACATCCACGCCACTGGTTTTCACTGACGAAAAATGAAAAAAAAAAGAAGGAAAATTGATTATCCATCTCAAACAATGTAACCATGTAGTTCTAATTTTTATAACAAATCAACAGTCAGAGAGAAGCCTTGCGTAATTTCGTAAACATAATAAACGACGAAAATTAGTAAAATCTTTTAAACAATAATTCGTTAACAACAGCTATGTAGGAACTCATAACTTTTGTTTTCATTAATATTATTTACATTATTTGCACCACACATGTATATCCTTAGACGCATGATCACAATAAACCAATTAAGATGTCACAATAATCACCATATTTACAACACAACTATATAATTCCATCATATACGTGTCCATATGACAATTCGGACAAGCCCACTCTCTAAAATGTTACTTCATACTCCTCTCGGACAACAGTTTACTATAGCAGGATAAATAATTAAAGGGCAACTGTCCGTGGGTCTAGTTGCCTGAGTAACTAATACTTCTTGTGGGTTTGGGGGACAATAATCCTAGTCTCAGGCGCGGATCCACGATTTCTCAGGGGAGGGGGCCCAATTTTTTTAAATTTTTTTTTGCTCCCGAAAATTTGAAAATCGCGCTGGCCGAAAAGTCGCTCTGTGGGGGGGGGGGGGGGGGGGGGGGGGGGGGGGGGGGGGGGGGGGGGGGGGGGGGGGGGGGGTAGTGAGCACATTTTTTTTTTTGCCCCCTAAAAAGCTGAAAATCACGTGTTTTTTTTCCCAGGGGGGGGCGGCCCCCCCCCCCCCCTGGATCCGCCACTGCCTAGTCTGGTCAGGTGGTATATACACCAGTCTTCTTGTGAGTTTAGGGGATGATAATATTGTCCTAGTCTGGTCAGGTGGTATATACACCAGTCGTCATCGAAATGTTTGTCGTTGCCATGGTGACATCATCAGAAGGACTTAAACCTTGAAACTGGAGGAGGATGGTGAAAAAGGTGATTAATGTGCTCATCACCTGTAGGACAGGAGACAAAAGAGTGGAAAACCAAATGAAAGTAGTAATTAATGTAATGAATCTGATCTATAGACAACCGTCAATATTATTTAAAACCTAATAAAATTAGGATTGGCATTCTGATATCATACATGAAAGAAAGGAACACAACAAAATAAACACAACAATACTATTTTTTAAACTATTCTTCAAATATAAAACCAGAAATGTATTGGTTTGTGTGTGTGTGTGTGTTCGATTATATTTTTCTTCGATTGTTCCGTGAACTATAATTATAAGGTTACTATTTGTGTCGACTTTATAGGCGAATGTTAAAGTGTTTCTCTTCATAGTGTGCTTGTTTTAATACGGTAAGGTAATACTGGAATATTCAAAATTGTTATGAAACGTGATGAAATTTCTTGTTTAGAGATAGTCCTTATCAGTAATACATTTTTTTTTTCTCCTGAAACACCTCCCAAGATACAGACAAAACTGATTGTCATGATGTCCTTGAAAAAAAAATGAAAAAAGAATTATTTATGAAAAATAAATTGTCAGCAAAGGTAGTTTTATTCTAATAAAATCACAGACTTGCTCCCTCCCCCCCCCCCATGAGTGAGCTATTTTTTTATAGGGCTATCCATGTTATAAATGAAAGTTATACGATTATTATTACTGTATTTACTAGTGATGAAGTACGTACCGCTAAAACTCGTTCCTTTGTGATGACGAAGCAACCAAGAGCTGTCATTCCGATTTCTGGACCATTCAGTCGAGCCAAAAACAAGATCTGGACCTAATCAAAGAGAAAAGAGGGTTAAACAATGAACATTTGTATTGTGAGTAAGGTTTTCAAAACATTTTCACTATTTTCTTGGCTTGAAAGTCAAAAATGTATAAAAACAATCTTATTTGAAAGTTTTTCTGCTACTTAAAAAGTGCAACTGACGTTTCGAGCAGATAAAATTTCTATCGCCTTTTAAAGACAAATATTCAATCACATTCCTTCATTGTAAAAAAAAGAAAAAGTAGGGGTTTCGACAATCTGAGTTTTTGGTCCTATATACCCAACATAAGCAGAATCATAAACCTATATGCATATCCAGCAAGGAAAAATAATATAATTTTTCAAAATTGATGTACGAATTACAATCTTATTTGCATATTCATGACTTATAGTTATTAGAAAGAGAGATCATTAAAATAATCTGAGAATATATTCTCTTTTTACTTTTGTCAATTAATTTTTGGAAATACCTTTATAATGATTCTTTTTTCAAGGAACATCTGCTTCCGAATAAATTATGGTTTTCCCTGCCAATCCCATCATTTTGTCACTCAAATTCACGCTGTGTGCGTTCGAATAAGCACACACATATTTATGTCGTCCCCTAAGGACGGATTCCGGTGATAACAAATTAAGAATCAGGGCATAAAAAAATCAACAATCGGGCGACAAAATTCAGGTTTGTGAATTCATTTTGCACGTCAGGCATGTTTTCAAGATTCATGCATTTATTTTCAGCGGAGAAACCTATATTTAATTATATTCAAAATCAACCAAACTGATAGTAATCTTCAATGTAATTACCTGTGATAAGTCCGAGTCAAATGTGTCCATCTGTAGTTCGTGCACACGTCTGCGAAGTGAATGAGCCTGCGATGGGGTAAATAATAATTTAGTTTATTTTTTTATTCTCCATTTAACGATACATCTAAAATATACGAAATATGTTCATATAAAAGAAACCAGAAAATTACAATGACGTATACAAGATATAAATGGCATTTAAAAAGCACATTTTAAAAATATAAAGGGCAAAGATCAACAAAGAATGAAGTAGTGGTTTATAAATCAGAGTTAACATAGATATTTAATAAAAATTTCTGAAACTACATGTACTTGCTTAAGAGAACCCCATATACTTATATATAACCACCTCTTAATATAAGTTGGTAATACTAATAATGTTCTTAGTTCTTAAATAGAGCTCATATGAATTATCTCGACATAAAGTTGACCCAAATACAACTGTTTGCCGGTGGTGGAGGGGCTTTCTCGGAGAAACATTATACTGTGAAATTTGCTTTAATAGATAGAATGACGTTTCGTCGGTAAGTAAATATTCCTTGTTTCAACTTCCTTTCCGGACATGGATAATAAAACGGATTACACTAATATAGTATAACAAATTATCATTAGTTTGCATAACATATAACGATATTATGAATTATTCTAATGAGGTAAATAATACATCATCGTAATAACTTTGGGGACTTGTTCGCTTTATCCGACTGAAGTCGTACCTTCTCATGAACCTGCACTGCAAAATAAGACAGCACTGATACATTGCCGAAATAGCAGAAGAGCCAGAAAAGTGTCAATCCAACGTAAAACCATTCGCTACCCAGGTAAAAGAGCTGATACAGCAGAAAAATACCACAGGGAACGTTTGCCAAGTACATCACAGCTGCGAAAAGAGAAAAGACGTCATCAGCAACTTCGACAGTGTGGCATACAATAGCATGTCTTCGCCGAAAACAGTTCAGTATTGTTTTGTCCATCGGGCGAGGAGAGTTGACAACCTGGTCAAATTCTTCAGACAAATTAGTGAATTGTGCCGAAATACTACGACATATGAGCGAGTACAGAGCGACTGGAAGGACGCATGCAACCGATCCGAAAAATGGGGAAATCATGTTGATGCCGCAAAAGAGTTCTGAATACCACGGGCCACAAAGACCGAACGAGCTCGCCGGGCTTATTCCGAAGCCAAACGCAAGGTATCCAAAGGAAGCAGTGTTCAAGAGAGAGAAACAAGAACATATTATTGCTGCATCGACAGCAAATTTGTTGTGCCTTTTCGGAACCTTCGGATCCACATCCATCTTAAGGTTGTGAGTTGCTTGGAGCAAGGAACATGTACTTCTTGCGTGGAGGGATGTGGCGGACGAGTTCCAGTGACGCCTGAAAAGGGCCATGCCGTTTTCCCTGTAGCACATCGCGAACATGATGCTATTATTGGCGGCAGTGTTGTAATACCAGACAACCAATGTAATATGATCCTGTCTGAATCTTCCAGACATGGCATTCAAGATGATAGCGTAGGTCATCCGGATTGCATTCAGCCACAGATAGATGCATACGAGCGCGTGGTAGAACTGAGAAAGGCGATTCAGCCAACTCCTAGACCTAGACGGTTTATGATCAGGAAACCACCCTGAACCTTCGGGCTGAACTTTGGTGGCGCTTTCGGAAGATGTTTCGTGGTATACTCCTGTTATCTTCATTGTAAAGATGAGTGGATCCGATATCATATTCCAAAGAGGATTCACCGTTCCATTAGCTCTAGGAAGTTGTTCTTCTTTGATCGCAGATTCCATCTTGTCAACGACTGCAATACGATTCATTTCAGAAACCGCTTTTTAACTATGAGCACAATATTATTGATTACAGTATCTCACCAAACTGACCCCACTCCATAAACTGGCAGATGGCTGAAGGTCCAGCTGTTTAATTTTTCTCCAAAAAGTATCTGGGTACAACTGGGTAGTTCTCAATTTTATTCCAATGTTTTCGTCTCAACACAAACGAAACATAAAACTCAACTGATTTACAACCCTCGGTTATCAACGCTTTCAAAAGACGAAGAGAATCTCGGCAATGATGAAAAGTGAATCGGAAGTAATTAGCATTACATAACCGTTATTTTAATTATCACAGTTATTTACTTTGGCCACGTACAAATGGGCAAACAGATTTGACTTACGAAACGGCTAATTGTATTTGTTTAAACACCTTGTGGTATAATAAGAAAACGGTTGTAATATATTGCGGATCATGCAGTTTTTGCTGATAGGCCTACTTTAACATTCAAATATGGGGCGTTAGTTGAAACATGGAGGAGGGGGTGCAGTGGCGGTTCCAGCCGGCGGCAAGAGGGGGGGGGGGGCAATCCGTGAAAAAATATTTAATTGCGAATCAGCCAGCCGGTGAATAAGCGGGGGGGGGATGGGGGTAAGAGCACTATTTATTTTGGGGGGCTAGGCCCGTCGGGTCCCCCCCCCCCCCCGTTGATCCGCGCCTGAGAGGGTGGTCCTACCAGAATAAATTGCATTTTAGACAATTGCGATTAACAGTTACTAGAGTGATAATTGTCTTCACAGGTTATTCTTTACCGTGCCTCTCCTTTCCCCTCCCCCCTCTCTCTCTCTCTCTCTCTCTCTCTCTCTCTGTCGCTCACACACACAAACACACACCCCCCCTCCCCTCTCTCCCTAACTTACTAGGACTACTCATCTCCCTTTTTGTTCTCTCTCTCTCTTCTCTCTCTCTCTCTTCCCATTTCTCTCTTTCAATTTCTCTTTCGATGTTAGTTGGGAGCATAACGGGGGGGGGGGTATGTCTCCCTCCTGGAGCAATAACGTCTCATTGGTCACAAAATCTAACCCAGAGTCTGGCATTGATTGTGAAAAGGGGCCTTTCGAGCAAAAACATAATCTAGTGGAAGAAAGACAACATTTTTATTTCTTTTTCTTCAAACTGAATCGATAAAGATAATGATTCCTTAATCAGTTTCTCGTGGCATCACAATTAGGACATTTCAGAATGATATGTAAAGAGAGGGGGCTCCCGCATGACGAAGTGGACAGTGGAGACAAGGTATACTTTGCCCCATGTATTTCGGTCTCGCCGCCCCTGGTTATGTTCCCACTTTCAAAAACGTGAAAAGCGATTCAATGAACGTTTGACCGCGGATATTAGAAGACATTTCCTGGGTTACAACAAATTGATGATAATAATTATTTGCATGGTCATTATGAAGTGAAAGGAGCTTTCATTGCAGGGTATTTGAGAAGACAATAGATCTATGACGTACGAGACACATTTCTCTTGAATCGCTCTGAAAATTTGTAATGACAAAAGAGAATGGAAGTGATTTTGTTACGTAAGTTTTTAAAGCTTTGTTTTTCTTCTCTAATTTAGGTGCATAACAATTTGGGAGACAATCTTTATGACCTTAATTATCTTGTCATTACATTTATTGTATGTGTTCAAACTTCGAGCAGGGTAAAGTGGTTTTTAATGGTTTGGTTTTGATCTCCACTCTCGTGGTTACAAGATCATTTCTGCATTACCATGCAGAGAACTAGTGATGGACACCCTCCCGTCATTTTGTTCGTCAGCCATAAATATCTTGCTTTTTAAATACCGAAAATACCGGCAACATTTCATAATATTAATAATTTGGTGAAGACAGGGGCGTAAATCCGTACCGAGGAGTGGGGGGATGATCGGCGAAAGCCATCACATACTAGCACGAGCACACGCGATCGCGCACGCACAAACACACAACACACACACACACACACACACGCAAACGCACACACACACACACACAAACGAACAAACAAACAAACAATATCAGAGAAAGAAGACGATTCGTTGTACCGTTCTCGAAAATAATCCTCGTCTGAATTCAGTTACCCCCAATCCCGCGCGAAGCGCGGGAGCTTTTTCATTTCATGAAATCATTAGAGAAAGAAGACGATTCGTTGTACCGTTCTCGACTCTTAATCCTCGTCTGAATTCAGTTCCCCCCTTCCCTCCCGCGCAAAGCGCGGAAGCTTTTACGTTTCATTAAATCATTAGGGAAAGAAGACGATTCGTTGTACCGTTCTCGACTTTTAATCCTCATCTGAATTCAGTTTCCCCCCCCCCTGCGCGAAGCGCGGAAGCTTTTACGTTTCATAAAATCATTGGAGAAAGAAGACGATTCGTTGTACTGTTCTCGACTTTTAATCCTCGTCTGAATTCAGTCCCCCCCCCCCTCCCCCCTCTCGCGCGAAGCGCGGAAGCTTTTACGTTTCATTAAATCATTAGAGAAAGAAGACGATTCGTTGTACCGTTCTCGACTCTTAATCCTCGTCTGAATTCAGTTCCCCCCTTCCCTCCTGCGCAAAGCGCGGAAGCTTTTACGTTTCATTAAATCATCAAGGAAAGAAGACGATTCGTTGTACCGTTCTCGACTTTTAATCCTCATCTGAATTCAGTTTTTCCCTTCCCCCCTCCTGCGCGAAGCGCGGAAGCTTTTACGTTTCATAAAATCATTGGAGAAAGAAGACGATTCGTTGTACTGTTCTCGACTTTTAATCCTCGTCTGAATTCAGTCCCCCCCCCCCCCCCCCCCCTCTCGCGCGAAGCGCGGAAGCTTTTACGTTTCATTAAATCATTAGAGAAAGAAGACGATTCGTTGTACCGTTCTCGACTCTTAATCCTCGTCTGAATTCAGTTCCCCCCTTCCCTCCTGCGCAAAGCGCGGAAGCTTTTACGTTTCATTAAATCATCAAGGAAAGAAGACGATTCGTTGTACCGTTCTCGACTTTTAATCCTCATCTGAATTCAGTTTTTCCCTTCCCCCCTCCTGCGCGAAGCGCGGAAGCTTTTACGTTTCATAAAATCATTAGAGAAAGAAAACGATTCGTTGTACCGTTCTCGACTTTTAATCCTCATCTGGATTTAGTTTTTTGCTTCCCCCCCCCCCTCCCTCGCGCGGAAGCTATTACGTTTCATTAAATCGTTAGAGAAAGAAGACGATTCGTTGTACCGTTCTTGACTTTTAATCCTCATCTGAATTCAGTTTTTTTCCCTCCCCCTCCCCCCCCCCTCCCCCCTCCCCCCTCCCCCCCCCCCCCCCCCCTCCCGCGCGAAGCGCGGAAGCTTTTACGTTTCATTAAATCATTAGAGAAAGAAGACGATTCGTTGTACCATTCTCGACTCTTAATTTCTTTAAAAAGGGGGTAGGTTTTTTTCTCTCTCTCTTCGGACTCCTGAGAAATGTAAAAATGAGGTTATGAAATATCTTGAATATCATAGAAAAATTGATCAAATCCCGGGATCAAATTCCTGAAATTCCTGCTTGCTTTGAAAGCTCATTCAGGATTATTTCATTTTGAAAAGTAAAAGCATTGGCCCCCAGTCCCCCTCGATCGAATAGAGCTCACCTGAAATTGGGGGGGGGGGGGGTTGTACATTTAGCAGTGTTCCGGATTGGGGGGGGGGGGTCTCCAAGGTAGGAAAAGCCAGCGAAAAGCCGGCGAAAGGGGGATTCAGAAATGTTGGCAGTCCTGAGATAGGGTGGGGGGGGGGTGCTTTCAAAGGGCGGGAACGAGCGTACGCGTACCCTAAATAATACTAAGTGGGGGGAGCCGGGCATCTACTGTACATGATTGCACTTTTTAAGCGCTCGCGCGCTGGCGCACTTTAAGTCAGGGCTATAATAATACCTTGCAAAATAACGAAAAATTATTCTAAAGTTTATGAAGTGCTTGTTCGCGCACATCGCGCAACTACTCTTAATGATCGTGACATACTATATCCGTGTAGGCTATACAGTTATACTTACATTAAAAAAATAACTCATTTCTCATGTATTATACTAAAATTGAAACAATCACATTTTTTTTTTCTTCTTCTTCTTCTTCTTCTTCTTCTTCTTCTTCTTCCTTTTTTTTCTCTCTTTTTTTGTAATATCAGGGGGGATGATTGTACAGGCCATCCCCCCTACTTCAGGACAGGGGGGATGCAGCCCCCCCCCCCCATCCCCCCCCCCGGGATTTACGCCCCTGGGTGAAGACCATAACTATAACTAAGACGGGGACATCTTCATAAGTGAATTCTTCCATTCGCAGAGGAGGCGCGATGGCTTAGTGGGAGCGCAGTGGTTTCGTAACAGGGAGGTCCCAAGCCCATCGGACAGGACTTGAAGCCATCGGATAACTGGTTGCTTACCTACAAGCATACACATGATTCTCAGTCAGTCCCAGCCCCTCCACCCACCCTCTCTCTCTCTCTCTCTCTCTCTCTCTCTCTTTCTGTTTCTCTCTCTCTCTCTCTCTTCATTTCTTTTTCACTTCCGCCTTTCCGACTATACACGTAATTATGTATAATTTGAAGGAAATTTATTAAGCATATATGTGTAAACCCGGGAACAAGCAATCGTGGTGTATTACCCTAATCTTTTGTTTGTATTCCCTTTCGGTAGGCAAAAAATGCCAGATCTTTTCTGGTATAATCCCAAATGATATTTGATTTAATATTACGTGTATGGCTTACATTGACTATAGGATGGAAAAACAATATTACGCCGTGCTCCTGCAAATTATTAGTGAGGTAAATTTTATGAACTATTATATAGCATGAAGTTTATGTTAAGGCATTTATAATTTTCATTTTTATCCAAAACTTCTTGTATAATGGGATTATCAAGATAAATTGATATAAAATATTATATTTGTCTGTTTCCAGCTCTAGTAGGGCTATCAGCTTGATTCGGTCATTATACATACTGATATGTTTGATGTGATGGATAACGTAAGGGACAATATGGCTTGTACTTGCACATAACAAACATCAATAATACATCATACATGTGTATTGTATTTTCTATTTCAAATTTAGAACTAATTATGATTGGACTTTCTAGCAGGATGCTAGTATTCCTAGCAGTTTTTAGAGCGGACGATAATATTAGATATTGATATTGGGTTCCAGCTTCTCTTCTTCTTCTTCTTATTCTTCACATCTATTTCTGTTCCCTGCGCCTCGCATCCATATTCGATACGATCGACAATAAGGAACAACCTTTCCTTAGATATCCGTCATGCCACATCTCTAGAATCTTTCAAATCCATCTTAAAACTCGTCTCTTTGTAACCGAATCCTAAGCTTTATACATGGTAATTACCCCTGTTATCCTTTAAAACCGTATATGTTTAAGATATGTAATTGCATGGGTAGTTATTTGTTGATGGTTGTCTGTAAAAGTTTATTTTAGCGGTTACCACGCGTCAGTATTCTTTCGACAGGGTTAGTTAGCCCCCCCCCCCCCCCCGGCCCAATCACTCAGTGTTATTTAGGGTACGCATATGCATGTTGCCTCCTGTTGAAAAGTCCGGTGTGTAAAGTCAATACGGGCCGGATTTTTGTGTACTATACGAGCCGGACTTTGGTGCGTGAAAAGTACCCCTCTTGGCTCTTTTTGGTTAGCCAATTACGGATGGATCCTGATTGGTCAAGATTGGCTGCTGGTCAAATTGGTCAGAAATGCCCGCGTGGGGGCAGCAGTGTCTTTGTCAGGAATAGTGAGGCAGATGTTGCTGATGTGGAGGCCACTAGCTGCCTCTGGAAACAGTGTTGTGTAGGTGGATCTCCAGTGCTTTTTCAAAATTTAAATCTTTAAAGATGTCATTAATACAACTGATGTAGGTACAATTACATTTAAAAGTGACTTGGTAACATTGTTGAAGGTGGATGAAAAAATTGCTTAATTTTTGTATAAAATGCTACTGTACTTACCCTCTGACACGCAACAAATCATGAAAAAAATTTCAAACCACGAAGATATCTATGGTTTTCTTTAAAGGAGTCGATGTATGACAACCTCTAACAGTGATTACCCGTAAAATTCTCGCAACCATTTTTGAATTTTCCCAACCGTTTTTCCAGGAAAAAAGACATAAAAACAGGCTATAAAAAATCTGTCAACACTTAAATGTCTGGAATGGAATGTAGAGCCATTTTATTGCTTTGTGACGATTTCCATTCACCTAAAATGTAATTAAATTGTGATGGTATAGTTGGGAGAATTAAGGAATCGATCAGATCAGTTTTTCTCAATTTGTACCATGAATAATGGTCCGTTTTCACTCAAATTTCCAGATTGTACATCTAGAATTGAAGTCACTACCTTAGCACCACTCCCGCCCCCCCCCCCCCCACTCAGGTTTCGGAATGACCGCATGCGTGTTGCCAAAATGTCCGGTAAAGGGGTACTTTTCGTGCGACAAAGTCCGGCCCGAGAATTGTAAAAAAAAGGGGTGTATTTGACTTTTCACCCGGATATTTCTTTAAAAAGGGGGTGTTTTTTCTTTTTTTTTCTCTAATCTCTTCGGACTCCTGAGAAATTATTCCGAATTTAGGGGGGTACATTGAGCATTTTTCCTGATTTAGGGGGGTCTCCAAGGCAGGAAAAGCCCGCAAAAAGCCCGCGAAAGGGGGGTTCGGAAATGTTGGCTGTCCTCAGATAGGGGGTACTTTCAAAAAGAGGGAACGAGCATATGCGTACCCTAAATAACACTGAGTGGGGGGGCCAGGGCACCACTATCTCTCATCTGAACAATGTTACCAAGTCCCTTGTATATATCGTATATTATTAATACATCATTTCACGGATGAGACTTTACTTTAGAATATACACTGTTGGTCATAAAGGTGGAATATTTATTTTTACCCCAGTTTAGGGAAGGATTTTTAAAAATTATTTATTTCTAATAGATCTAGATAATGGCATACATTCTCAGATTTTATTGAATACTAATTTGCGAGTATTTGTTTTGTGTGACTACTTCATCATATGTGTGTTACTATGCTAATCAGCTAAGGGACCTACGTCCTTAAGTCATGATTGACAGTAATGAAGATTAATGCCTCACAAAAGGGCACTGATATATAGCTGATCGACACGATTTTTATCCTGGGGCCTCACAGTAACGAGGCCATTGCTTAGCCCCTGAATCATGACTGTACGCAGTGTTTGCTGGGGTACGCGGCCCCTTCCACAAATCCCCCAAAACGAAGAAAATGCAATAAATTGTCAAAAATTCATTGCTTTTTCCCCAGGCCCCCTACAGGAAAAATTACTCTGTAGGGCCATGCATTATGGTTCAAGGCATGGCCACACAGAGAAATTTTTCCTGTTGGGGGCGGGGGAAAATTGCAATGAATTTTTGACAATTTATTGCATTTTCTTCGTTTTGGGGGATTTGTGGGGGCGGCCGCGTACCCTAGCAAACACTGCGTACAGTCATGATTCAGGGGCTAAGCAATGGCCTCGTTATTGTGAGGCCCCAGGATAAAAATCGTGTCGATCAGCTATATAAGTGCCCTTTGTGAGGCATTAATCCTCATTACTGTCAATTATGATTTAAGGACGTAGGTTCCCTAGCTGATTAGCATAGTAGCACACATATGATTTAGCAGTCACGCAAAACAAACACTCGCAAATCAATATTCAATAAAATCTGAGAATGTTTGCCATTATCTAGATCTATTAGAAATAAATAATTTTTTAAAATCCTTCCCTAAACTGGGGTAAAAATAATTATTCCACCATTATGACCAACAGTGTACATTAATGTGCACGTTTGAATAAATACGCAATTTCAATAATACTAATAATAACAATAACACGACGTGACTGACGCATACGCATTTCTACGCATCAATGATACATTAAATGATATGATTAGACTATATTTTGCAAAACTTTGATGATAAATAGCGGCAAAGTAGCGACTCTGGGTTCACTCCAATAATGACTCACCGAGAGGCATTTTTCGTATGTACTTCATTTCAATTATTGACAGAGATTGCAATCTACATCCAACCATTAATAATTTGTGTACTTATCTAATGGAACAACGAGCCTGCACTGCTCAATCATCAAAATTATCATTCTAGAAGCTTTGATTATATCGTATATATATATATATATATTATATGATTCTTATGGAGATACTGTTAAAAAGAAAAGTGAGTTTGAATCAATCGGGAATGTGCAAATCCACAAACAATAAACTATTTTGCATGCATGTACTTTTGTATATATGTCTTTTACAACTATATCAAGCATAATATGATTGCATAATAAAACAACTTAAATATTATAAGAAATTAAATTAATCATGATTTTGCGAATCCACAAACAATAAATCATTTTTAAATATTTTACATGCATGTATAGATTTTTGTTACATTAATAGAAGCAAGGCAGATATTAATAATTGCATCAAATTGCCGAAAAAATCAAAAGAAATTTTGAAAAGGACGGGTATAAACTACTTTTGAGTATATGACTTTATAAAATGCAAATAAATTTTATCAGTCATAATACGATTATAAAATAAAACAACTTAAATATTATACAAGATTGAATTAGTCGTGAATTTTTAAATCCACAAACAATGAACTAATTCAAATAATTACTCATCCATATACAGTATACATATTTACATTTATTAGAAATGAAGGTAGATCATAATAATTTCATCAAATAACCGTAGAAAATCTAAAGAAAATTCGAAGCAGACAGGTATAGACTGCTTTTGAATATATAACTTTCCAAAATGCACATTAATGCACATAAACTATATCAAGCATAATATGATTACATAATAAAAACTTAAACATTATACAAAATTGAATAAATCGTGAATGTGTAAAACTGCAAATCCACAAACAATAAATTATTTCAAAATATTTCACAAACATGTATACAGAAGCGGATCTAGAGGGGGGGGGGGGGGGTTGGGGGGGTTGCAACCCCCCCCCCAAAAAAAAAAATAAAAAAAATCCGGGGACCATTTTTTAAAATCTTATCTTTTTTTTTAAACTTGTAATTTTATTTTATTCTATTTCTATGTATTTATTTCATTTATTATTATTATTATTATTATTATTATTATTATTATTATTATTATTATTATTATTATTATTATTATTATTTCTTTTTGGGGGGAGGGGGGGGGGGGGGTTGGGCGAACAAATGTCACAGAGTCCCTTGCCCCCCCCCCCATCAGCTTTTTTGAGGACACGGGCCACCGCCGAAGTGACAAGCTAGGCCAGCGTTGCCGATTCTCATCCCCAAAATCCCCACATTAAAAAAAAAAAAAAAAATTGGGGGATTGTTGAAGTCTTTGGGGATGAAAAATAAATATTTGGGAATGAAAATAATATTGAGTTTTATGAAAAACGAATTTGGGGATTTTCTGTCAAAATTTGGCAACTTTGGGGATATTTTAAGTGTCGTTTGGGTGGGGATTTTGTGAAGATTTAACCTGGCAACGCACGCTGAGCTGGGCTGCTCATTTCCTGGATTACTTGTTCAAGTTGCTCACTTTTTTATCAGTCTGGTCTGAGTGTAGTGACAAGCAATATGGAAGCAAACAGGGCAAAGAAGTTGCGGCAATCCAGTCTCGCATCTTTTTTTACTGGAAGGTATGTTTGAATCATGCAAAAAAGTTGGCATACAGGGTAAATTACCATACATGGGGGTGTAATACGGACGTGTTCATGCACTGCTTTTTATGGTCTCCATTGTGTTAATAGATGCCAGGAAAACATCACTTACGGGGTTCAAATAAACACCCCAAAAAAAAATCGGCCTTGTTCTGCCAGATGCGAAGGTCCACTGATAATAACAGGGCAGGTCCATTATACCAAGTATTGTTGAGTAGTATTGAGGAATCGTGAACTTAAATTTTTACAATTAATGTAGATTTATTTGATGTTTTGTCTGATTCAAGCTCCGGTAGGGCTATGCAGCTCGATACAGGCATCGTAATAATCGGAGGTGGTCGGTACCGTAATGCAATACAATCGAACAGGTATTTGACAATTATAGCGCCTGTTCCTTGCAGTTAATATGCGCTGCACACATTGTTTCATATGATATGTTTGGGCCACTAACACAATAACATTTCCTTTCAAAAAGATCAAGTGAGTCAATACAATCCAATGTCCCCTAACAAAATAAATGGGACTTCAGACGTTTCTTAAATTAGTAAACAGATGAAGCAGTCTTTAAAATAGTATGTAGCCGATTCTACAATTTTTAGAGAGACGATGAGTTAGTCAGATAGACGACGATGACGGACCCAAGGACGACGATCTAGTCTAACGTGTGTGTATTCTAGACAGACTCGAACTTGGACTTGCCCCCAAATAGTTTACTCTGTGCAGTGTAGGCCTATACGTACTTTGACAGACCGAACCATCATTCATTCAGCTTCACTCAGGTCGTGTAGATATCTGTAGTGGTCGAAACGTTTGCCGTTGCCATGGCATTGACGTCATCTGAGCATAGACCCTTAAACTGTAGGAGGATTGTGAAATAGGTGATGAGTGTGCTGATTACCTGTAAGAGAGGAGATGAGAGAACAAATATCAAAAAATTGATACAGAGAATTAGAAAACATTTCAAGGACACATCCCCATTTCTTTCTTTCACCTGTGTGGTAGTTTCGATGTCTAAGTCCAGGAGAGTGTTTCACAAAGACTAAGATCGACTTTAAGTTTGACTTAACTATGGCAGAATTTTTATGCCACTAGTTGCACTCACCATTGGTCTCTCAATATAATCTTTAGATAATATTTTTTCCTTCAATAATGAACTATCAAAAAATGTAAATTCTGTAGATTTTTGACCATGATTGTATATGTCCCTTGAGAAGCCAATGCAAGGAATGGTTAGAGGAACTAGTTGCATTAACGGCTTGTCATAGTTAAAGGTAAAGACCAGTATTGGAAACGCCCCAATTTCCAAAAATGAAATGGAAGCTCTTATTACTAATCAGGTGAAAAATATGTTTTTACTAATACATGATGATAAAATTTTTGCCGGAAACCGTCTACTAATTGATATATTTGGTATAGTTTATCTATTGGTGTGTGAGAGATAAACGCACGTGTCGCGCACGTGTGCGTAGTCCTATATACATCTTTCTGTGTACAGTGCTTGTAACTTTACGAAGACTGGGCCAAATTTCTTATCATCTTGATGATTCCAGGAACTTGCAGTACACACCAATACTTATATGCTAGATGATCAACCTTTTCTGATCGATTCCACAACGTTTCTTTCACAATGCAATCGCATGACCATAACTGGTCTTTATCTTTAAGTCCAACTTAAAGTCGATCTTAGTCTTTGTGAAACACTCCCCAGATGTATACTGGCAGACTGAAGGTATCTGCCAGTTTCCCGTTCGCCAAAGGATGCTGTTGTGGCGATCGCAGAGTCGTAGATGTCAGACAACGTTCACAAAAACTTGTTGATGTTACACTTCCTCCTGCATTATTGCTCCCCGTCAGTTGCCTACACTTAACCGTAACCCTGGACATAATCCTGTATCTAGCCCGGGACATAACCCTGTATCTAACCCTGGACACAACCCTGTATCTAACCCTTGGCCCAACTCTGTATCTAACCCTGGACCTAACCCTGTATCTAACCCTGTATCTAACCCTTGGCCCAACTCTGTATCTAACCCTTTGTCCAACTCTGTATCTAACCCTGGACATAACCTGTATCTAACCCTGGAAATACTCCTGTATCTAACATTAGACGTAAACCTGTGTCCGTCGATGGTGTGCCTGCTACAACGGTGATCCGATATATGCTCTGGCGATAGTTACTCCGGGGTTCATTTTGTCAAAAGTATAGAGTTAGGGTTAGTGTTCGTTGTAATTATCGTGATTGGATTTTAAGTTTCAAGTTAAAAGTTAGGTTTTGGGTCAGGGTATAGACCCAGATATGGAGTTCGTAATTTGGTTAGTGTATGAAATTAACGCGGAGGAATCGTTGGAGGAGCATATTATGTCGTACCAACGTTGCAGCACCATGTTGTATCCACTTTGATACGATCTCACAACCTCACACTTTTATGGTCTGAATGTAAAGGCAAGGTAATTTTACTGACATCGCAACCACTGCTGTCATGTATTTTCAATTGCGCTTCAACTCTTTTGGTGAAGGTTGAAATAGAGCGATTTCCACTTCCTGTATCCAAGCAACATCATGCGCGCGTCATGCAGGTGGTGATAAATTATGGGACATGGCTGTCTAGACACTGTGAGCAGAAGATGTCAGTATACGTAAATCTGATGTGGTTTCAGTAGAATACCCTGCCTTTAAGATAATAAATGTTTTTGAAGATTTTAGTAGAGAATTACCTACCGCTAAAACTCGTTCCTTAGTGATGACAAAGCAACCAAGAGCTGTCATTCCGATTTCTGGTCCATCCAGGCGAGCCAAAAACAACATCTGAATCTAATGGAAGATTTCAAGATAAATAAGTATATTACAAGAATCACAAATCACTTATATTGATTATTATATTGGACGTTCACTATCGCGTTATACACAATTCTATCCATAGTTATATAATCAAAATAAAGTTATACTGTAATGAAACCATATTAGCTTGTTTAAGTAGAAGTATTAGATTTTTTCCTGGACAGCGTTTCCTTTTTCTCATGCCATTTTTTTACAACTGTGCCTTCGATTTTGATTAAAGTCTCTTTGTAACATAGCCTATATTAGATCCCTATTCTGTTTATTATTTTCAATAAACGTATGATTCATCTGAATTTAGTTTGCTACCAGAATTGTTTTTACACTAATGACACGGTTCTTTGTTTTCTTATTATAATACAATTAGTGCTACATAGTAAGTCCGTAGAGGAAAAAGGAGTAATGTTGCAACAAAAAAAGTTACCTGAGCTATTTCTGGATCGAATGTCTCCGTCTGTAGGTCGTGTACATGTCTGCGAAGAGAATGGGCCTGTAGAATATAAAACAAACAAACAAACAAACATAAGCATTTTATATTATGTAACTTTCCTTCCCAATAATAATCGTATCAAATGTTTCTAATGTAAGCACCATGTTATTGATTTGAAAGTTTTTAGTTTTATGTGATGAACGCATGACAAAATAATGTACTGAAGTAATCAAGGATATAATGGTAATTGTTCCAACTATTTTTATTGTGATATATATTTATTATCTCATATTGTGAATTCTTATTCTGTTCTTTACTCTTAACTTTCCAGTATGCAGACTGTGGAGTGATGTGCTTTCGAGTAATAGCAATTTCAATTGCTTTTGTCACCCCTGACCAGCAGATTGTATCCTTCTCTCTCTCTCCTCTCCACTTTCCTAAAGCTGTTTGCATGTATTAAGAAATTTCTATGTGTTATACTCATTGTATGTTTTCTTATTGGTCAAATAAATAATAATAATAATAATGATAATAAACGACAATTTCAGAGTGATACAAATGACATCGGCTAGACATTACCTGCATATAAACCCGTCAACAACTATCAAGTAATGCGAGTTCGATTGAAAACATGACTTTTGTTACTGCACTTTTTAAACTGAAGTTGGTTTCATCATAAAGCCAAGGTTAGCTAAACCCAGGTTTAAGTCTTACCCAACATTAAATTGTAAGTTAGACCAGCGCTAAACCACACTAATTAACTGGGTTTTGGTATTTTTTAAATGGCGATCGTAATGTTTGAGGCACCGTCTTAATACGCCCCTCTGTTTTAAATCCTGCATCCACCTCCGCCGCAATCTCGAGAGAATAGTACAAAACCCACACAACCCCCCCCCCCCCCCACCCTACGCAATGTATTTCACATGTGTGATGTCACACGCTGTGTGTAGCATCCAAGTTAATATAGTACTACCGAACATGGATCGTGCCGTGATGGCAATTTGCTCTTATCTATCAGGATCATCTGAAATATATATTTAATCACATGACGCGCAGTGGACCAATCAATTGCAAAGAATCATTTTATGACGGATTTGATATCCTTTTGTTAGCTTTAGGTAAGTGCCTGTCAGCCAGGTTATAATATCGAACCTTCATGACAACCAAACCATTGATACTCACAAAAACTGAAATAGGTAAGTTCGTAACCTGATTAGATTTCAATATTGCATATAGGGCTCTGATAAAAAGGTTTTTCAGAAACCCTAATAAAAGAATAAGAGCCCATATCCAGAGCTAAAAATCAGGCCACTAACCAAGTGAAATGAACAAAGGTTTCCTACTATTATTCGTAATGTATGGCTTTGTTTTATTCATACTGTCTAGGAACGCGTAACAATAACGCGCTTTGACAGACTTCAATCAAAATATACATTAGCGGTCTATTCGATGAAAATCTAGATACGGTATAACAAATTTAATTTAGATGAAAGCACGAAGCTTAGTCTACTTTCCGAGGTTTAAATGCAGTATCAGCTGATTGAATCATTTTTTATTCAAGTTAATTTTGGAGTGGATGGAAAAAAGAAGAAAGAGGAGTTTCATTTTGGCCACTGCTCTTCATCGTATATATAAATGATTTAGTAAAATGTATAAAAACCTGTCAAGTTCAGTTGTATGCTGATGATACTGTTTTATACTTCTCACATCCTTCTATAGATAGAATTGAATTAGCTTTGAACTCAGACCTAGAAAATATGTATTACTGGATGTACCAAAACAAATTAAGTGTCAACTGTCAAAAAACAGTTTGTATGCTCATTGGAAGCAACCACATGATATCTAAAAAGAATGTCCTCCGAGTTTCATTGAATGACATCTCCATAGATCAAGTTCATCATGTCAAGTACCTTGGCGTCTTAGTTGATGAAAAGTTAAACTGGAATTTACATATAGACAATATGTTGAAGAAAATTGGTCAAATGGTAGGCTTTCTAGGAAGACTAAGGCGATTCCTAAGTGAATCGGTACTGAAATTAATATATAGCTCACTGATCCTTCCGTATTTTGATTATGGTGATGTTATTTACAGTGCAGCTTTCAGGAAATATACAGATCGCCTTCAAAAATTGCAAAATAGGGCAGGCCGGATTATACTTAAAATAAAACCTGAATCTCATGTCTCTGTTTTGGAAATGCATAACGCTCTTAATTGGCAACTCTTGGACAAAAGAAGAAATCATCATTCCCTTGTTCTTATCTATAAAATAATGAATAATCTAACCCCCGAGTATTTAAGAAATGAATTTGAGTTGAGAACCCATTCCTACCCTTCCCGAATTGGAGCTCAAATAAAATTACCCAAACCGAGAACAAATTACCTCAAAAGATCATTCAAGTATAGAAACGCAAAGGCCTACAACACACTTCCTCCTCATATCAAATCGTTCCCTAGTGTTAATACATTCAAATCTAAGATTGCAGAACTGTTACAGTAGCACATGGTCCCCCTACTTATTTTGTTATGATTACTTGTTGTTTTGTTTTTTCTTTCTTCAAATGTATTTACTGTTGTTCATATAATGTATTTATGTTTTGTTTTGTTTATGTAATTGTTCCGGACCCCACGGAAGACCAGCTTTCCCATGTCGGGTTAGCTGAATGTGGGCTATCCATCGTATTTTATGCATTTTTACTATGTTTTTTATACGAAAATAAATACTACTACTACTACAATTAAACAAATATATATATATATATATATATATATATATATTGTCTCTAAACAAAATTTAAGAGGAAAACAAAATATTGTGGAAAAGAAATAATTTGAAATTTATTATCAAACTGGTCGAGAAAATAGTACAAACTTTATTTGCGATTTTTTTTTTTTTGGTGAAAATATAATTTTGTTTATGTGAATATTTTTCATCTGTAAATGTTTGATTGTTTGTTTGATTGATTTTATTTCTGCGTTCAAAAATATACAAATTCAAAGTCAAAGTACAAAATTTCGAACAATAACAAATACAATGAATACAATGTTTACAAAAGTAATTAAATGAAAAATCATGTTCAATTATATCATTCGATAAACATGTACGAAGCATACAATAACATAAGAAATATGAAATATTTTCAATAAATTAGAGAGGTAATTTGGAACGCAGGAGACCACCATCGTGAGCGGTTAGGCTGGAGATGGATGGCGGCCTCGTAAAAAGAATTGGCGACATAACTCTCTTCGAAAAACTGAGTGACCAAGAGGGTGCGGTGCAAGTGCAGGTGCAGTGAGCAGTTGCATGATAAAGAATAAATAAGTCACGGTTTTGTTATACTAATTTAGAGAGGGGGAGCATATGATTGTATTATTTGTCGTTTAAGTGTAGCTTTTAAGGAGTAGATGGTTGAACAAGACTTTATGTTGTCGGGTAAATCATTCCAAATGTCCGGGCCAGAATGTCTAACAGATTTGTGTGTTATTGATAATTTGGGGTTTGTAAGATGGAAGTTTCCAGATATGCGAGTAGAGTATGAATGAACGGAATTATTAAACCTAAACATGTTATCAAAGGATGGTGGAAGCAGATTATTAATGTACTTAAACATAATAACTGCTACTTGAGTAGTGTTCAGATCGAAATTTTTTAGTGTTTTAAGTTTATAGAATAAAGGATCAGTGTGAGCTAAGAAATGCGAACCTGTACAAATACGTATGGCTTTCTTTTGCAGTTTGAAAATAGAATTGATTTTTGTCGAACTACAATTTGCCCATACACTATTACAATATGTTATATACGGGAGACCTAGCGAATTATATAGTAGGAATAAGGTTGCATGGGGTAGAAGAAACTTTAACTTGGAGATTATTCCAATACTTTTGGAAATGCACATTGTAACTTGGTGTAAATGATCATTCCAAGTCAAGGTTTCATCTATAAGAACACCCAAAAACTTGGAATTAGTTTTCTTCTCTAGTAGCATACCATCGATTTTAATATATATAGGTGTTTCTGTATGAGAATGATGTTTAAAATACATGAAATGAGTCTTTTTTGTATTAAGTGAAAGTTTATTGGATTTAAACCAATCTGATACTTTGTTAATTTCATAATTCAAAGTATTGTTTAACGAATTAAGGTCTTTATGGGAATAAAAGATATTTGTATCATCGGCAAATAAGATAAAAGAAAGAAGGGGGGATGTATTGATAATATCATTTACATAAAGAAGAAATAACAGTGGACCTAAGATGGAGCCTTGAGGAACACCGCATTGAATTAAAAGAGGATCAGAATCATAACTATTAAATGTAACATATTGTCTTCTGTTTGTTAAATAATCTTTAAACCATAAGAGTGGCTGACCCCGAATTCCGTAATGACTGAGTTTGGAGAGTAGAATAGCGTGATTGAGCGTATCAAATGTATAATGCGGTGGTCACATCCCGCCGTACTTGCAAGTGCGTGCTGTCTACGTGCAAAAACGTGGGCAAAATTTGGGTATCCGTACGTGATGAGTACCGCCTCCGTACGGATTTGGGAGCACGCAGACACACCGTAGCACTTTTAGTGCATGAGGAACTTTCGCTGCGTTCGGGCTGCGTTCGGGCTACCGATTCACCCCAGTGCGTGTGACGTGCGTGCCCGGTACTGCCAACGAGCGCACAACGCACTGACTCCGTGCGTCTTTTAAAGACGCACGTGATAAGTGCGTGGTCCGTGCTTACTCGCCACTTCCACAGTTTAGCTATCCAATGAGCACGCAGAACTCACGTGGACCGTACCGAGTAAGCACTTACAACGCACGTTGTTCGCACTGATTTATGCAGTAGATAGTCTCTTCAGTGGAATGGGCGGCATCTTGAGGCAGCAACAGCTGGGACTTAATGGAGAACATCGGAATGTCGTCCTATATAAACACGAGTTCATCGCACGTGCACGCACTTACAACGTGCGAGTGAGTAAGGACACCGTACGTGAGCAGCACTTGTATGTACGGCCTCCGTACGATAACGTGGCAACCGCACGGAGACCGTACGTTGTAAACACGTTGTAAGC